TCTTTTGTTGGGAAAGTTGAGTCGCTGAGAAATGAAGTGGCTTCTTTCAAGGTAGAGTTGTGACTCTACAGTTTGAGATCGGTATGTTGAAAAAGATAATAGATACTTCTAACTCCCAAACAATTCAAAAAACTTCTAAGGGAAAGATGAAAGTCCTAGACCCAAAGCCATTCTAGGGTAACAGGAGTTCGGGTATTGGAGAACTTCTTGTAAGAAGTTGAACAATACCTTAGAGTGGTAGATGTTCCTAAAGTGGAGAAAGTGTCGATTACGTCAATGTATCTTGCCAGTGATGCGAAATTGTGGTGGAAAATAGCACAATTTGATCTCATCAGATCTAAGATCGATACTTTGGATGTAGTGAACGAAGAATTGAAGAAGTAGTTCTTTTCCTCAAAAATTTTGTGGAAGGTTAGAGATGTCTTATGGAATTTGAAACATACTAAGAGCGTGCATGCATATGTTTCAGAGTTCAAGATTTTGATGCCGGATGTAACGGAGATATCAAAGGAAGACAGGCTTTACTTTTCCATCCATGAACTTCAACTGTGGTTACAGATAGAGTTGTGGAGATAGAATATTCAGGCAGCGTCTTGGGACCTTTTTGCTACCGAAAAATTGGTGAATTTCAAGATTACTGGATCCAACAACAAGAAGAAGAAGGAGAAGAGTAAGGACAAGGGTAAAGATCAGAATGGTGGTCAATTTTCAAAGAAGAAGAAGAAGAAGCAGATGATTATAACTATAGAAACGAGTGGTACTTTTTTCTTTAAAGGATTAGCAAACATTCAATCTCAAGAAAGAAGGCTGCTTTATCTATAATGAACCACACTTAGCCTAAGACTGTCCAAACAAGAAGGATAAAAATGTTGGTGCCATAGTAACAAAATATATTTGTGACCAACTGGGTATTCATGATGTCAGGTCAATTCCATGCAGTTTTTGAACGCCATAACAAGTATGAATGTATAGACTCCTTACAATAGTTTGATGTATATACAGGTTACTCTAACTGAACACTGCAATGATGGATATGAGAGTATGGCACAGTTGTGCGACTGAACGAGTGGTGAATCGATTCCAGTTGCAGTTGAAAAATCTATATTTTAAGTTAAAAACTGTAAATTTTGAGGCCAAACTCGTTTTAAACATGACAACTATGGAGTTGGGGTTGGAACCATATAAGGGTCGATGTAGATTCACGGCAGACCCAATAGATGACTTTGATTTGATGATCAATAAGGATTTCGTGGTGGAAAACATGATCTACCCAATTCCACACTTGGATGGATTTATGGTGGATGATGGCCTGTGTCCAGATTTTGTTCCTGCCGTGAAGTTGCCAAGATAGAAAGACAACTAACTAAAGAATGTAGTGATAGCAGTATAGATTGAATCGAGTTTGAGATAAAGAGAAATTGTATATCTTGCAGCATTGGTAGAAATAAACCCGATGTGTACCAGGAAATACCAGATGCTGTGGCCCGAGTGTTAGAGAAATTCGCATACATCATGCTTAAAGAGTTACAAAAGAGACTTCCTCCATTACGTGCTGTGGAACATAAGATGGATTTGAATTTGAAAGTCAAACCACCTGTACAGGCTCCTTACATAATATCCAGATGGAGTTGGCATAATTGAGGCACCAACTGGATAAGTTATTGAATAGCAAAGCATTAAGACCATTCAATGCTCCATATGGTGCTTCTGCACTGTTCAAAAAGAAAGCATATCAGTCTTTGAGATTCTATGTGGGAATAATGGGGGAGCACATATGCTTCTAGTTTTGTTCCTACACAAAATTTCAATAACCTATCTGCTTTCTTCTAAAATAGCGCAGGAGCACCATATGGAGCCTTTGATGGTCTCAACATTTTGCTACTCAGTAACTCATCTAGTTGCTGTCTCAACTATATCAACTCCATTGAGGACATTCTATAAGGAGTCTATGCGGGTAGCTTGACTCTCGAAATCAAATCTATCTTATGTTTCACAGCATGTCGTGAATAAAGTTTCGTTGGTAACTCCATAGGTATGATGTCTGTGAATTTATCTAGCACCAACTGGATAAGTTACAGAGTAGCAAAGCATTGAGACCATTCAATGCTCCATATGATGCTCCTGTGCTGTTAAAAAAGAAAGCATATGAGTCCTTGAGATTCTATGTGGGAATAATGCAAGAGCACCATATACTTCTAGTTTTGTTCCTACACAGAATCTCAACAACCTATCTATTTTCTTCTGAAATAGCTCAGGAGCACCATATGGAGCCTTTGATGGTCTCAGCATTTTGCTACTCAGTAACTCATCTAATTGCTGCCTCAACTGTATCAACTCCATTGGGAACATTCTATGAGGAGTCTAGGCAGGTAGCTTGACTCTCAAAATCAAATCTATCTTATATTTCACAGCACGTCATGAGCAAAGTCTCATTAGTAGCTCCATAGGTATGATTAGAGTTGTTAATCGAACCGAGCAGCTCGCGAGCCGAGCTCGACCCGGCTCGATAAGAGCTCGGCTCGGCTCGTTAACAGAGAGAAACGAGCCGAGCTCGAGCTCTAATAGGTACTCGTTTAATATACGATCCGAGCAGGGCTCAGCTCGTTTAAGCCCAGTAGGCTCGAAAAATAAGGGCATTTTCGTCATTTTCACGTGTATGTGGTAATCTAGTCAAAGGCATCTCCCGTCCGTCTGTAGCCCTAATTCATGCTTTCCTCCTTTGGTCTTTCGTTTTCTCCTCCCACAGCCGTCACCCCGCAGCCTCCATTCTCACACCACCGCACGCCGCATCCCTCAACCTCCATTCTCACGCCGCATCCCTCAGCCTCCATTCTCACCACCAGGCGCCATCCCTAATTTTTTAATTCCCCTTTCTGTCATCTATTTTCCCATTCCACAGCCACAGCCGCCATTCTCATGCCGCCGCACCCCGTAGCCTCCATTCTCACGCCGCACCCCGCAGACTTCATTCTAACCGCCAGGCGCCATCCCTAATTTTTGATTTCCCCTTTCTGTCATCTCTTTCCCGTTCCACAGCCACAGCCACCATACGGAGCAGCGCCATACGGAGCCATCTCGGTAGAACCAGCCGCCAGGGGCCTCTACCATACCCCGGTTCACTGCATTCTGGTAAGTAGCCTTGATGGTTTTTTATCGTAGCCTTGATGTTTTGATAATTATTTGCCGTGGTTGATTTCTGTTCACATGTTTACTGTGTCACTGAGTGAGAGCCGTTGAAATAGGCCATACCCCAATAAAAATTTTCACCATAGTGCCTATCTTGATCTCTGGAGTAGTGTTTGTTGCAAGGAAAAGTGTGAGAAAGTTAAGAAAAATTAGTTATTTTTTCTTTCATATACGCTTGTTTACTAGGAAAATCAACAACATTTCTTGCACTTTCGCTCACTTTCCTACATTTTATATCTTGCAAAATCTGCAAGATTTCAGGACTTTGTATACTAATCCATTATATTATATTTTTAAAGTCTTAGCAACTGCCAGCCACGGAGACCGCACGAGTATGCATTTTGCAGATTTATTGTCATTTTGCTTATAGTTTTTTCTTCATTATCACTTACTGACAAAGCCAAAGGCTTCCCATGGGATTTTTTTTAAGAAAATAAAAAAGATTGGGACTTTGCATAGAACAAGGCAGCAAAGAAAACAACAAATAGTTCTGGAACTCGATTACTGTGACGGGTGTAGACATACTTCTGGAACCTTAAATCACTTGCCCAAATTGTTGTTTTGAAACTGGTGATGGTTAAATATCCAGCCATGGCAGATGGATTTTTATGCAGCAAATTGACTATTAGAAGCCCTTTTATTATGATTAATTATGGCCTTAGCATGTGAATAAATGTCTACCATCCATCTTGGATAGTTGAACAGATAGGTTTTTTCAACATTTGATTGGCGCCTCGCGCCTGGATAATTCTCTGCCCTTTTCAATTTTACTCCTTAAAAAAGGAAGATTCATTTGTCATTTGTCAATTCAGAATCTGAGGAATAATTCGATTAGCAAATATTTTTTAATCATTGACCCTAATATTATTATATCTTTATCACTTTCTTGTGGATTATTTATACATTTATCACTTTCTTGTGGGTTCCAATTCAAGATCCCTTACTTGACCATTTAACTTACCAGCTATCAACTCCACAGGTCAGAAAGAAAGAGACAACCTTCAACCTGGGAACTTCACACGTATTAAGAGTTCTTGAGCTGATGAATTGACATTTCTTAGATGGATATATCATTTTTTTCCTTGTTTAATATAAATGTCTACTAGAAATGCCACTATACTGTCCTTTCATTACTGTTCCCATGCACAAACTAATTGGAATTATGGATTCAGTATTTCCCTGGAATTCATCACTGTCCCTTGTTTGGATTGCCATTTTAAGAGTTTTTAAGAGCTTTTCTCTGTTATTTCATTAATCTGAATGTAAGCTTGAGAATTGAGATAGGAACAAATTAAAGAAATGTTAAAATTAGCTTGAGGTGGGCATTATTTTTTGAAATCTGTTTTATTACTTTTGTACCTTATTTCTTAGAAATGTTATTCTAAATTTTTGTTTTAACTAATCAGAATCTGTATTGGTTATTAAATGTTTTTGATTAAGAAATGTACAGCTCTCCATTCAACTCATTTCAAGGTTCATCATCAAGTCCTGCGATGGAGCAAAATAATGAAGACGTGGAACAATTGAATTACAACGAAGAAAGAGCTGATGAGATGAGTGAAGAAGAAATAGAAATAATAGAAGATGATGGCAATGAAGGAGGACAGCAAGTAGATGGAGATGGAGGAGCTGGTCCTTTTGAGAAAAAGCAAAGGAAGAAGAAATCCAGTATATGGGATGAAATGACTGAAGTAGTGCTAGATAATGGGACGGTCAAAGTGAAGTGCAACCATTGCAAGGAGCTTTTCACCAAGAGTACAACCGGAGCCACATCTTAGCACAAGAGACACCTGACTTCTTGCCTCCAAAGAAAGATGGCCATTGAGGAGCAAAGCAAACAAAGGCAACAAGTGCTTTCATTCACCGAAGGTGGAAGTGATGGTATCACTTCCATCACAAATTTCTCGTATGATCATGCCAAGGTAAGAGAGCTTGCGTCACACATGATTCTTGCACATGAGTACCCCTTTTCTATGATGAAGCATGTAGTTTTTAACAAATTCATGAAAGCAGTTTCTCCGTTTTATAAAAAGATTAATCGGCAGACTGTTAAGGAAGATTGTATGAGTACTTATACAATTGAAAAAAGGAAGCTGAAATCATTGTTGAAAGGTGCTGGTAGAATTAGTATTACAACTGATTTGTGGAAATCTGGTCAAAAAATTCAATATATGGTTGTGACTGGTCATTTTATTGATTCTGATTGGGTGCTTCAAAAACGTGTGTTGAATTTTTGCAATGTTCCTCCTCCTCATACTGGAGTTATTATAGCTGATGCTCTAAGTAAGTGCTTCATTGATTGGGGGATTGAGAATAAGGTTTCTAGCATAACTGTTGATAATGCTTCATACAATGATGTGTGCATTAGGAGACTTAGAGAGGATTTTTCTCTAAGAAAGAGATTAAGTATTGGAGGAAAAATTTTTCATGTTAGATGTTGTGCACATATACTTAATCTCTTAGTGCAAGATGGTCTTGGTCAACTTGGTGGTGTGATTGATGTTATTAGAGAAGGGATAAAATACTTGAACAATTCAGAATCTAGGCTTCTTGAATTTGTCAAAATTAAAAAACAGTTTCAGTTGCCCTCTAGAAAACTAATTTTGGACTGTCCAACAAGGTGGAATAGCACCTATTTGATGTTAGTTTCAGGTTTAGAGTTCAAGGATGTCTTTCCAAGATATGTAGACATAGACCCTGGATTTCACTATGTTCCTACTGATTTTGAGTGGATGAAAGTGGAAGAAGTGTGCAAATTTCTAGGAATATTTCATGAAATCACTGATATGATTTCCGAGTTTGAGTATCCAATAACTAACATTTTTCTTGTGGAGCTCTATAGGATTAAAGAGCTTTTAAATGAAAAAACTCTTGATCCTTTTGAGCATATTCGGGCAATGGCTGGAAGTATGTCTGATAAATTTGATAAGTATTGGGGGGAAAGTAATGTGCTGCTATCTTTGGGTGCAATTTTGGATCCGAGATACAAAATGTTCCTTATCAATCATGCTTTTCCGGTGATTTATGGTGAGGATGCAACTCCTAGATTCATGGCTGAGATTAGAGACATTCTTTATGAGCTTTACAATGAATATGTTGATTGTCATGTTGTTTCCCATTCTAAACAATAGAGGTAGGTTGTAAAAAGGAGACAAAATGAAGGTTCTACTTCTTCTAGTAAGAAACAGAAAATGACTGCACTCGCCGTTTTAACTGGCAAAGAAAAGTTTCACATGCATGTGAGTGAAATTGATAGGGCTCCACCAGAAAAATCAGATTTAGATGTTTATTTAGAGGAAAGTAGGTATGCTTGTGATGCAAGGGCAAATCTGGATGTTTTGGGTTGGTGGAAAGGGGAAAGATTGAGATTTTCCATCTTGTCAAGGATGGCTGCCGATATACTCTCCGTTTCTGTTACCACTGTGGCTTCAAAATCTACCTTCAGCGCTGGAGGGAGAGTAATTGATGATCGACGAGCTTCTATGTCGGTTGAGACGGTGCAAATGTTGCTTTGCGGCAACGATTGGATCCGCAGTCTTCATGGCCTAAAGAATAAGTCTCGTGTAAGTAATTGATTGGATGTTTTTGTTGTTGTTACAGTTGCTTTATTTCTGATTTTGATGAATTTTTTTTAACTTTCATACTTTTATTCTGTAAGAATCACTTGATGTGGCCGAATCAATCACATTTGAAGAAGTTGAACTTCCTGAATCATTCAATGACTAATTTGGTGGCTGTTGTCCGTTGATGGTTGCTTGGGGACAGTTTATGTAATTTTTTATGTTGTAATCTGATCTGGTTTGGACAGTTGATGTTGCTTGGTGGCTGTTTATGTAATTTTTCATGTTATAATCTGATCTGGTTTGGACATTTTGGGTTGGACATGTTGTAATCTGATCTGGTTTGGATATTTTGGTGTGGACATATGGTAATCTGATCTGGTTTGGATTACTGGTGGCTGTTGATATTGTAATGTGGCTGTTTATATAATTTTTCATGTTGTAATGTGGACATTTTGGTGTGGACGTGGTAATCTGACCTGGTTTGCTGAAGTTTTAACTTCTTGTATTGTCATTTGGTGTAGTTTAAACTTCTTGCTGCAGTTTTAACTTCTTGTAATTTGATGTGTTTTGGACATTATAATCCCGCTTTGGATATTTTGTTTCTCCATTTGATGGTTTTTGCTGTAGTTTTAACTTTAGACTCTGCCTTGTATTGTTATTTGGCATGGCTTGTTGAATTGAATCAGGGAAATACGAGTATTGTCATTTGGCATGGCTTGTATTGTCATTCTGGTTTCAAATGATAAATCAAAGAAAGTGTATCTTCTTATGATATGGGCTCTCCCATAAACGAGCTCGAGCTCGAAAAGCTCGACTAGAGTTTTTCGCGAGCTCGAGTTCGAGCTTCGAGCTCGGCGGCTCGATTTCAAAACTCGAGCTCGAGCCCGAGCTCGAGTTTTCTACCAACACATCGAGTCGAGTTCGAGCGCCTTGTAGAGCTCGAATTACTAATCGAGCGAGCTCGAGCTAGCTCGATTAGAGATTCGAGTCGAGCTCGATTGTCCTATGCTCGAGCTCGACTCGGCTCGTTTAACAGCTCTAGGTATGATGTCTGTGAATTTCTCTAGCACTCGACCCATAGCATCTGATACTTCTTGGTACACATTGGATTTTATTTTCATCAATGCAACAAGATATGTAATTTCTCATTCCTTCAAACTAGACTCAATCTGCACTGATATCACCTCATTGTTTAGTGGGTTGCCTTTCTATTTTGACAACTTCATGGTTGGAACAACATTTGAATGCTGGTCATCATTCATCATGACGCCATCCAAGTGTAAAATTGAGTAGATACTGTTTGCCTTTATGAAATTCTTGTTGAGGATCTAATCAAAGTCATCCATTAGTCTTGCCATGAGTTGTATCGACCTTTCCATGGTCCTAACTTCTGCTCCAACTCCACAATTGCCATGCCTAAATAGGTTTGGCCCTAAAATTCATGATTTTTTACTTAAAATCTGGATCTTTCAATTGCAGTTGGAATCGATTCACCACTTGTTCAGTCACACAATTGTGTGATGCTCCTGTATCCATCATTGTTAGTATTTGATTACCATTTAAAGTAACCTGCATATACATCCAAATGTTGTAATGAGTTTAGACATCCATACCTACTATTGCATTCAAAAACTATGTGGAATTGATCCTTCCATCTTGCATATACATCAAAGCCTACATATTCATAATTAATATTTGGTTATCATTTAGAATAACCTGCATATACATCAAAACATTGTAATGAGTTTAGGCATTCATACCTATCATTGCATTTAGAAACTGGATGGAATTGATCCTTACATCCTGAATAGCCAATTGGTCACCAACACAATATCTTTTGCTATTATGATATCAATATTATGATTCTTCTATTTCGGATAATTACGGGTTAAGTCTAATCCATTATAGATAAAGCATCTTTCCTTCTTGGGATTGGATGCTTGCTTATTTTTGGAAGAAGAAGTACCACTGATTTCTTAGTTGTAACAATCTGCTTCTTCTTCTTCTTCTTATCATTGTTGAATCCCGTAGTCTTGACATCCATCAACTTTTGTTTGAACATGATAGCAGAAATGGCCTAAAACATGGTTTGAACATGCTATATCCACAACTTTGTCTATGTCCATGATTGAAGTCCATGGATAAAAGTGTGAAACATATTTTTCTTTGACATCTCCCTTACATCCTGCATCAAAGTTTGGAACTCTGAAACATACTCATACACACTTTTAGTATGTTTCAAATTTTGCAAAGCATTTCTAGCCTTCCACAAAATGTTCGTAGGAAGGAACTTCTTCTTCCATTCTTCTTTCAGTGCATTCCAAGTGTCAATCTTAGATCTTGTAGGGTTAGATTGTGCCATTTTTCACCATATTTCGTATTTCTATAATGATGCAATCGATACAGTCTCTGTTTTAGGAATATCTACTCTCTAAACTATTGTTCAACATCCTGTAAGAAATTCTCTAATTCATTCGAATTCCTATTACCCTGGAACGGTTTCGAATTTGAAACTTTCACATTCCCCTTAGAAGTTTTCTGAATTGTTTGATGTAAGAAGAACCCATTGTTTTCTTCAACACACTGATCTCGGACTGTAGAGTCATGATCTCTACCTTGGAAGAAGCCATTTCATTCTCAGCGACTCAATTTCTCTAACAGAAGAAGCTATCTGAATGGTTTCCTCCATCTGCACGGTTAGGGAGTTGATCTTTTCTTTGGTTTGTAATGGGATCTGTACGATGTTGAAATCCTCTGGAATGTCTCCCGAACATTGCATCAAGTCTACAAACACAAGGTCTTGGCGTTACAAATGCTCCTAAACAAAATTTTCATGTACAACTATCATTCACAAATAGTGAAATATACAACAAAAGCATGATTCAATGGATTAGAACCGTGCTCTGATACCAAACTATTACGAGGTATTTAATTTACACAAGTAAACACATATGTAATGGCACTAACAAGCCACTTACTAATCAACCCTCACAAAGCATACTTGCACACAAGTATTTATAGTAGAACACTTATGTAAAAATGAAACAATGCACACAGTTTATAGTTAAAAGCCAATCTTGCATTTTGCTAAGTATAAAAGGAACATTTCTACATACAAGTATTCATAGTAGAGCACTTATGCAAAAATGAAATAATGCACACAATTTATAGCTAGAAGATCAACCTTGCATTTTGCTAAGTATACAAGAGACATTTCTACAAAAACTTGGCATGTAGAACAATTCTAAGGGTGTCCTCTCTTTCCCTTAGTTTCTGTCTAACCAATATATTTATAGGTACTTTCATGGTTGATAAGACCCAACTATTGGTCTAATCTGAACATACAAGAAACGGAAAAATTTCATAAGATTTGTCTAATTTGGCAAGTAATCACCCGCCTATCTAGCAATGGTCAGCAACCAAAGAAACTATCCTATTGTTTACAAGCATTTGGCATGTACAGCAACAACATCTCACGATTTGGCACACACGGCTTCCCTCCAATTTCAATGCACGTAGTTTTGTTTCCACACTTAAACGAACTAGACATAAGTTTCCAAACCACTCAAAGCCCACCAAATAATCCACAAAAATTAGCCAATCCATGCCCTCAGACGCTATGTCCTCAGCCATGACCAGCTTGTCTTAGTTATTCCTTATTACAAATACAACTAATAGAAAACTTAGGATTGGTACTAGACTAATACATCAGAGTGCAAACAACACTAAGTACTACACTTGCACCCTAATAACATTTTCAAGCCTCTACAAAGGAATGAAAAACAACAACAAACACCAATCTATGTTGCCTTCCTTCTTAACTATGACTGGTCGAAAGTGCCATGATTGTACGTCTCTATCTGATTCATATTCTAAGGAGCTGACAAACCACCACCACTTGAAGAGGTTGACATCCTCGTCAACCTAGTCATCTTCCTCAGGTTCTTTAGGTACTTAATTGTTTTCAAATTGCCACAAAATCACGTTACGCTCTCAAATAGCATTTAGTGCAGTATCACTATTCCAATGGATTAGATAAACAGTCCTTCTATTCTTTTTGCTTTGCCTCATTGTCCAATGATCATGCACTGCCAACACATCCTTGTTAAATTGCTTACGAATCACTAGTGCAGCACGTTTTGCTTGCCTTCTTCCCTCATCTATCTTGTCTTGATTCTAAGGTTTCGAAAGCTCATATGGAAGGTTGGATGGATTTTGAATATCAAGTTGCTTTGAACAATATGCCACACGACCCACCTTCTTCATCATTTCAAATGGTTCATCGTATTTAGGGAGCAAACCTCGAAGAACTATCTTACTACTTTCTTTCTTCCAAATTTGGGAAATGAATTTAAGCATTACTGATCCCCACTTGGAACTCTACGATGCTTGTGTTGGTCAACATTCTTCTTTATTCACTGTTGTATCAGCAACAAACTATTTCTTGCCTCATTTATTAGTTCTTATTTGATTCAAGCAAATTTATGTGTCATAAGACAATGATTTTCTCCTTGAAGAGCAACTTTATGCGGTGTCAAAAGTTGTTGTCCATTCACCAATTCATAGGG